AATGCATAACGGACGTACCCGCGGCGTAAGGGGCTCCCACGTCTCCCCACTTACGCCGAGTGGAAGTCTAGTCATGAGCAACGGGACCAGGACCATACAACCACTCGGAGCAAATGGGGCGGGGCTAAACATGAGTCCCTCGCGCACAGCCGACCGCCATCTTGAACCAGCACGACGAGCGGAGGACTCGGCCAGAATCCGCCCTTCATTCGTGTCAACAGCGCGGCAGAATCTCAAGTTGAAAGGCAGACAGATTGTGGAACGGGCTATCGGTCGATCTGCCTTTATAGCAATCTAAGGTGGGCGGGGCTAAAGTCCGCATGCCCGGCACGCGATCGATTCGATGATCATACAATGCTGTACTAATAATGGCCAAAGGCGAGCAGTTAGATGATACTCGCGGTGTCAATCGAGTCACTGATTAGACCTCTCACACGAAATGTGAATGTCGAAGTTGTTTGTGTCTGTCTACCTGAATGAAACCCATTGAGGTGCAGTTCGATCTACACTATGATCTACAGGACAATTGATCGATCCTCACTGCATTGGCGCTTGTAAATTCTCCGGCCATTCAGCGCATACGTTGGGAATATTGAAAACTGTGCAATTCTATGCCGAAGAAAACGGATAGTTGATTAGTGGCGCGTGTTGCGCAGTGGTCGGAGGCGCCCTGTAGCACACGCATGGGGTCGATCCCTGCGCACCTGGACTAGCAAACCTTTCATCCCTCGGGGTGGGAAGATTGCTACCAGACTTGCCCGGGAGTGTATCAGCGCTGGCTCGATATATCGGTAGGCCACCGCCAGTCATTGTAAACGCCATATATGCATTTAATCACCTCCAAACGATGCTTAATGAAGTTGAATGCATGGCGCATCTCTCAGGGATTGATCAACGCCGACAGCTTTATCCTTTCATATTTTGTGGGTATAAATCTTGGATGTTGGCTACATTCTCAAGTAAACGACGCGAGATTCGAGTAGTCTGTACACTGAAATCCCCAAGTTGGACTGTACATAGCCCTTATCTATGTACTTGCTTATTGTTTGTTGCTTGCGCAGATTGGATGCCTTGGTGGTATTTTCTGGTCTACAAACACACTTGTTGCTCATGTTGCTGATAAGAGCTAGAAGGGGATCACAAACACCAAAGCCAGAAGTTGTTCCACATCCACTCGCGGCGATGATAATATTTGACCTGGCTCTTGATATGTGGAAATACTTCTCATTTTCATGTCATAATCAGAAAATTCTAAGTGAACTGTAGAACTTCTTTTGGATCGGATTCACTGTGGTATTCCAAAACTAACATTGGAGCACCTCTGTATTGGTGACGAGTGCCAGAGGCGAGCAAGGCCGCGAACCATTGCTCTCCTGGCCACGCCAGGAGCAAATCGTTCAGGATCGAGTCCACCTCAAATCGTTTCCTCTGGCATGAAATTAGGTTGCGCAATGTGTTCGTCTATTCTATGGATGGTTGATAGTAGCACGAGCTACTCTAGGATTTTAGGATCACCACAGTGCTTATACACAAAAAGAAAATTCCATGACTAGCGAACGATAGCAGCTTGGTCAATCGGTTTTCCTTTTTCGTGTGGTGTTCAGCTCCAAATTTATTGGATTCAACCCGATGCAACCACGAGAACCCATATCGTAAAAAAAAACTGCTGTAGGCATCCGATTCTATTACTTGTGGTTGGTCGCAATTAAGTGTATTTGATGACCTCTTGTAATGTCATGAATACAGCGAAGTACCAGATCGGTGTGAAATATAATCATAATCATGCTGAGAAATTTGCAAAACTCCGGACCGCAGAAACATTCTGTTTCTTTCCTGCTTGTAGGATAACTGAGATAGTGTTGGGGCTGAGCATCCGATTTATTTCAATTAAATCGACATTATTAACACCCGTCCAATCCAGAATAAACTTACACAAAGTAACTAAGACAGAACTGCTTCTATGTTAATCTCATATCTACACGAGAAAAGAGTAGTAAATCCATGACCCGGTGTTGCCAGTGGTAAAATACCTGCAAAGCAGTATTGGACATATTACAGTAGAACAGCAAAAAACGGAGAAAACTAACATGAAGGAAAGCAAATAATGGTCTTAAGCACTAGAAAAAACATCACAACACCACCGGGCAGTATCTATGAATATGACCGGGCCACTGGAAATGAACTGTGAAAACGTCTTCACACTATAAAGGTAACAAGACACCTCCTATACTATCCAAATCTTGACATAATTATTCGATACGAAGAAAGAAGTTAACCTTAACTTATAGACATGTCATAAGTTAGATAACAAAGAGAATATAACGACATATAAGACCAAAACGTACGGCATTTGTGCACTTAAAGAAAGAAGCGTAGAAATATAAACATGGAAACGTAAAAGGATGTTGACATCCATCACGGCCATTCTTTACGAAGAGCACTTGGACTGACGTGCACGGAAGAGTGCATCAAGTCATGCAATTCAGGAATTCTGTGGTAAGACTTGTTAAGAGGATATGTGTTTGCCTTACATAGTGCATGATCACGAATATCACCCCATCCACCATTCTCATGTGAAGGCTTTGGAGAACGGTGTGACACCTGTAACATAAGAAGTTGAAGTAAACAAAAATGTTAACCTCTTATTCGCTGCCTACTATAATTTTTCACGGTAGGGTATTATGTGAAATAAATACAACCACAGTAATGCTGAAATATGCGCAAAACTTGCACCCCGGGCCAGATTGAACCTCAATTACCCTTTCCAGATGATCGCGTATTGCACACCACATAAGCCCTTGCTTTGCGTTTCTTTCAGCTAGTTTTCTACCTAACGCTGCCAACAGAAATCACCCGTCAGCGTGGGTTGATCTGGGAACACAAGTCGGCATTGAACCCAGTTAAGCTGAGGCCACAGTTGATTCACATGCCGCATTCGTCTTAGCATAGCAGTTAGTGTTTCAGCTTCTCAATAACTTCAGTTTTGAACAGCATAACCTTGCAAAGCGATGTAGGACATCATAACCCCAGTTCCATTGAGTCATTTCTCACGCAGACTTCGTCTGTTTAGTTAACTCAGCAAACACGTCTTCGCCAAAGATCATGTGTATTAGAGCGATTCAGTTGAACAGAAAAAGAGAAAACAAATATGTTAAAGCACCGATGCCAACTCACTTTAGCGAACAACCAGCGGAAAAGTCACAGAATAATGCATCTTAAAACTTATCCCAGAGATCTTCAGGTTGACATACTCGCGAAGGATTAAGTAGGAAAAACCACAGCTCGCTCATTATCTACTTATGTAAGACTAGTTTCTGAGTTGTCATAAAATAGGTGTAGTCATTACCTTTCCAGCTACCACTCTTTCATTTAAAGTGATATACTTATTAACCCATCGGTGCCGACACCCCAAGTCATGTTGCGGACGCATGGGACAGCACCTAGTTAGTTCCATGTCATTACGAACTTGTTGGTTTTGCAATAGACGATGATTCTTCAAGAACGAGGGATGTATGGGGTTGACAACATGTTAGAATTATATAGGAGACTTTGTTCTATTGCACTAAGGTTGTGCATAATATGCAAGCTGTTATTTTCTATATGTTATTACAATTCATCATACAACCACACTGCTGTTAACATTTCAAAATTTTCTTCAGCTTACGTTGACCTATCTAAAAATCTTTATACCCTACCATTTCACATGGTGAACATGATTTATCATAATTGCTGGCTTTGAAATAAACCGAATACTAGCCAGTGTTCTTGGGTGTCGGACTGCGATGTACAGCGGGAGATTCGTCCCCTCGATAGGGTCTTCCAGGCTGAGAAGGAGTCCAGCATTTACACCAGGAATCCTAGCTAAGAGTAAACCAATACCAGAATCCACCACTGTCCTGGTATCAAAGTCGCATGGTGGCAAACATCTCCTGATCAACAAAGACTGTGACTGCTTGTGGTGGTGGGAACCTGGAGCAGACTTTGGCAAGGCTACCCTCGGGACTGCGGGGAACCACAATGGCTTAGCCAGCAAATCTCCGAAAAATGGAGATTATGCTGGGGCCCGCACAAACAGTGAGGACGGGGCATTCAAGTATCTAGTATCAAAAATACTTCCCAGTGCAGAACAAAGCTTTTCTCTAGTGACACCCACCACAATACCTGTGCTGGATAAACTATCGAATGTTTACAAAAAGCGCAGCACAAAATGCTCTATGTGGCAATACAAGCGATCGAGAAAAGTCATAGCTCACCAACCACGTTAGTTAACCCAGTAACGCGTGAATCACACTGATTCACCATGTCGCTAATGTATTACATTGGAAAGACATCGGTTGTTTCACTTATGGAAATATATATAAATATATAATATATATAAATAATATATCCATAATATAAAATATAATATATCCCATATATAAAATATCGAAAAGTTTTAATGAGCGTAATCCCGATCATAAAACCTAGGAATTTCCCTTAATTACATCTGTACGTGTGAAATGCTCTCTTTGATGTGTAGATAGCATCATCACATACATCTTGCCTAGCATTGAACAATGGACGAAATATGCTATTATTCAACAAATCTATGAAGTTTTCCATAAGTAAAACAACCGATGTCTTTCCAATGTAATTGTATTTCCTACGTTTCTTTAGTAAAGACTCAGACAAAAAGACTATTTACAAGCGGTGCTTTGAATTTTAGAGCACGTACTGCTCGGTAAGTGCTTACTCTCAGCGTCTCAAAAAAAACTGCTTTGAAGTTGGACATATCTAAGAATAACTCCGTATAAGAATTTGTTGCAGAATATATCCATCTAGCACCAAACACCACTTCTGATCCATGTAAGCTAATATATGGGAATAAAAACCTAAGAAAACCTCTGCATAACAATAGCAGACTATGCTCAGGAAAATACTCATTGAAGTGTCATAGTTAAGCTTAGGATTAATTCGTAGAGAAAAGATTTGGAATCATTCGGAGATTTGTATAAGAATTCTTAACGTACATCCGTCACAGTGAGCCGACTTGGGAACAATAAATCCGCATGCTTTGCCATTATCGAAAGGATAGACATGTAGGTGTTGTGTGCATTACATCTAGAAAACCATAAATCATTTCTCGAAATGAACAAACAATTAAAAAAGAGCTAGCCTTTCCAAAATGTCTAAGCGATATGAATTTCACCTGTGGGTATGTAAACCGCAATCCCCAATATGAATAACTCTTGGACTCTTGGTGAACACCACACGAAATGGCTTTGGAAGGCACTTAGCAACCACCTAATACGGAAATTTGTGAAAAGACACTTTACAAGGCTCCTAGAATAAGCAAATATACCTGCATTAATGACCAATCCCAGTTATAGTCATCGTATTTGCAAAAAAGCTGAAATGAATGGTTTAAGTTCCAAAATCCATAAAGAAAATTCATTTATTAAGGCGGACATTCAATTTGTTTATACACATGAAACTTATCTTGAGCATTTATATCTGCTTCAAGGGTGAATGACAACATTGAAGAAATAACTTGTTTCTTTTAACCTCGTTATGACTAAACAATGTGTGTTCTTTCTTTGATATGCTTGTACGAGGTTCAAAAACATTCTTTGTCTTCGGCTAACGCCCTTTCCAGAGTGAAGGCCTTCGGCTCTGAGCAAGACGAAGACATCGAGACGTTAGCCGAAAATAAAAATTATTTATTAACCTCGTCTTAGTTTGATACTCAATAAATCAACTGCTGGAAACAATGTTTTGGAATATACGAGTGCTCGAAAAAGTTAACGGCATTGAAAAAAGAATGTTTGAAAGACTACGAATACACTTTTGATGAAGGGAAATAGGACTGGTTTTCGAACTCACCAGCAACAGGGTTTCATTGCAAATGTTCTAAATATTCAGCACATTAAAAAGAAATAAGAAATTTACTTCCGAACAATTTTTGACTTTAAGCCAAGATTCACGTCGGAAAGCCATTCCCATGTTGTGCCTTGAGCTATACCACGGGTGAGCGCCAAGGTTTGCAATGGTCGATCCGTACTGTGAAAAAGACTGGAGATAGGACCCCAGTGCAATTATTTCACAATTCTCACAGTATCTGAAATGAACAGTCCTAAATCCTCATAGAAACTAACGAAAACAGAAGTATCGTGAACATATTTATCTTGCACCTCAAAAGTGAGATTTTAGGAAGACAAAGCAGAAATAAACCCACCACAAACGTTTACCCAGATAAAACGGGTGCTGTCAAAATTATTGATCAAGGTCGATCTAAAATGGACTAGAATAAATCGGCTTCCCTACTTCTGCCTATTTCGTATGATATCGGTGAGTATGTACAGCGCGTCTGGAACTACATAGTGGTCTTCTTCAAGGAGTAGAACCCACGCGTTAGAAAGACCGTAACGATCAAATACACCATCAAACACGTAGTTCATCTGAACAACGACAACAAGCATCGAAAAAGAATTCTGCATTGGTGATAGCTCCAATTTCAACCGATCAATTAAGTTTGTTCACAAAACCTTTAAGTAAAAATTGTATAACAAACTAATAAACAAACTAAATTACCTTCCACCACCAATGGTGTTTGATCTGCGTAATCTTTGCAACTCGGTAGTTTCCATATTTATCAGGATGTTCAGCATTCTTACATTTTGAAGAAAGTGCCCTATGAAATTATACGGACAAAAATCAAGGCACAATAAAAAGATGGCGCGAGCTAAATCAAATAATAACAAACTTACGATTCCTTTCCCAGTCGCTCTGGACAGTCTCTTGGGTCTTGTCCTGGGAAAACATGTGGGAATATTTGCATATTAAACGGATAATATATTTGAAGCACCTGCAACTAACAGTTCACAAACCGATCGTTAACTTTTGTGGGCTACTTCCATGCTAAATGGCTATAACAGTAGATTCACTTGGAAGGGGTGAACTGACACAACATGATGAGCAGAGACATATTCTGGCTCTTAAAATTGTAAAACAACAAGGAACATCCAGAGAAAAGGTGCGAAAACATCAAAAACCATAAACAAGTTTATATGAGGAACGTCGTTAAAAGTAAGACAAATTCTCGCATTTTCAGCCACAACTTCGTGATTTCTCAACATTTTCATAGTTCTTCCCAATGACTCACTAGGAAGCCAAAATGGCAAATAATGACATAAAAGCAACATGCACACTTACCCGAGCGAATGTTATATTTCTAATCAATTCATTTACAGGTGAAACATTGATATCGTGGCTGAAGACCAATAGGGTTTCTTCAATACCCTTAGTCTGACGAAGGGAATCAATGAGGTTAGCGAGATAGTTGGGACGATTGTGAACCTAGAAGGGATACAAATGATCATATGAATAGCTCTGAAATGCCAAACCAAGCAAATGCATAGTGAATGACGATTGATACAGTACGAGGTACCTACCTGCACAACAATAACAACCTTAACATTCTCGACTGGCCCGAACCTCGCCAGATTCAAAAGATCGAAGTTCTCGTTCAAGAAATCCACTGATAGAACAATCTCCTGACCGGTAATGGTCATGTTCGAGTAGGAACCTGACATGTACACTGTAATTATCCAACACGTTCGTACAAAACAGTAACAGGAACAATTCTATGAAAAGCGATTACCAAAAAATGGCCAGGACGTTAGATCCATCTCCCCTTCATAGTCGGATATGGTGTCGTTCACTAAATTAACCTCTAAATCTTTTATTCCGCGCAGCTGCACGTCAGGAAGCAGAGGGAACGACGGCGTTTCCAACAGGATACTATCAGTCGACGGCCCTTTTAGGACAACAACAAAAAATCCCACCTAGAAGAAAGCAAACCTTTCCAAAAAAAGAACGTTCGGAAAAACGGATCTAACTAACCACACATATTGATATGATAATATTCAGAATTCTGTGACCTCGTCGATGAAGCATCGTGCGCTCACCGTGCTGATCGGGCCCGGTCTCTCCAGACTTTTCGGCTCTCCAGCTCACAGGATGTACTTCTAGTCCTTTTCTGGAATAAGGGTAATGTACAGAAAGTGGTGGTCTATGACGAAATGTTGAACGCGACCGGACGTGAAGCGCAAGTGTGGCGAGAAAATCGCGTGCGCGATGTCGCGTGGCCCGCCTGGTGCTGTCGGACTTCGTGTGGAATCCGATGAGTACCCAATACATCCCTGGCCATTGTATTGCATTCCTACTTTATCCCATACCAATTTCCTTTTCCATTTTTGGTGTATTTCCCTACCAACTAATGTCTAGAGTCTCCAGTTTAGTACAATTTTTGCTTTTGACTGATAATATCCGGAAAACAACATAAGCTGCTTTAAATTGGTCCATTACACGCACAGATCAAATCATTTGTGTCGGTTGGATATTGCAGTGAGCGTATGAACTATCGTAAAAAGAGGGAATCTGACGTTTAGAAACGTTTTGTGGTCAACGGCCAATGGTCAAATGTCCTACTTACACCTTATGTAAACAACCACTGATATTTTACAGTTACTCAGTGGTCTCCAGCTGAAGAAATCTCTGCTAGGTCGTTCTTAATCCACATACAACTCCGTCAAAATCATCTGAGGTTTCAGATGGTTGCAAGCGGTATAGGCATCGTTGAAGGAGCGCGTTGTGTATTTGCACAATAGAGCCATTTGTGACGTGGCACGAAAATTACGGTGCAGTTGGCGGCTGGTTAGTTACAATCGTGAATATACGTTCGCCATATTTGTAAGATCATATCCGGACCAACCGGCGATGTTTGGAAGGATCTTGTACTTTTGATCATCTGTGTATGTAATCCTCCCAACCCTCATCGTCCTCATCGTGACTGGGAGGTGTTCTTGGATGCCGGACTGCGATGTATAGCGGGGGGGATTCATCTCCCAGGCAGTCTTCCAAGCTGAGAATGAGTCTGGTGTCAGGCTAAGGGTTAACCAGTACCAGGGTCCACCACCGTCCTGGTATCAAAGTAGTCGTGGCAAATCTCCCTCTGATCCACAAGGGCGGCGGCTGCATGTGGTGATGACGACCTGGGCAGATTTTCACCAAGCTGACGTCGAGACTCTAGGGAACCACAATGGCTAAACCAGCGAAACTCCGAAAAACTGGAAATAATGCTAGGGCCCGCACAACCAGGGAGACAGGCCATCCAAGTATCCAAGTAAGTAAATATGTATGGAATGTCTGTCATACATTTCAACACGTCCACACAAATAATGGTAAGGAGGAAGTTTCTCACTTAAAAGATTTGAAAGTAATGTTGTTTCATTCATTTCGTGTAGAAGGTGAGTAACATATGGTGGATGACGGATGATGGATGCCACCGAAGCCGAGGCTACCGATGGATGACGGCTTATCTGTCGTGATCGTAAGAAGGAAAAGCTTGAGACTATCGGTGTCAGCAGCTGTTATGCCGTTGACCGCCGTCTACCTACGCTGTACCAGAATTTTTACGAGTTGTCGTTCCCACTATTCGTATTTGCGTAGAGTCCACGTGGCGTATTGAGTCAATGTTCATACTGGTTGTCCTGCAACACGAATGCGGATAACTGTGAACGAGTGGATGGGTTGTCGGCTTCTTGTTAAAAATGAGTGTAAACTTTCTTCGTGTCTGCGTATAACTGATGGATGAACCTTTTAACAAAATGCGTGACAGTCGAACATCCAGGAACCTCACCTCTGATTTTTTATTGTTTGATTGATTTTCTCCTGAAAAAGGCAGTGGCTCCGAAGGTATTGGTCACGATGAATATTTATGTAGTAACCTTGTGTGAACCTAACAAGACAGCAAGATTTTGATTTTTCATGCTGAGCGATTGAACGAGATGATACCTAAAGTGATTATTTCGCTACAAAAGATAAGGCATTCGGTGCTGATCAATCTTTGAGGAATGCGCATGCATTCGACTTCACTAAGCATCGTTAGAGGTGATTGTTAGAGGTGCATATCTGGCCTATACAATGGTTTTCGGTGGCATACCGATGTGTCAGGTCAGTTCTGCTATCCGCCGAGACAAGTCTGGTGTCAACCTAGTGAGATGGAGGGCTCGGTGAGCTCAGGGCATAGAGTCCACCTCAGTGACCACGTGCGTATTGCAGAGCACCTCTAACCACTACACTACACGGGCCAGGTTACATCGCCGTGGTTCAGCTGATAGAATTCCGACAACTTCAGAATGTAGCAATTCCCACGACCGACTTTCTTTTAACCTCGGCATTGATTGATAATTCGATGCTTTTCTTCAATAAGCAGACATGAGGTTGTTATTATAGAATTTATTAGGATACAATAGCCGACGTTTCGGCGGTTTTGCCTTAACCACAGTCCTCGCCCATGATTACTCCGTGCGGCTGCTATCCACTGACTTAAATACTTACAGCAAATAAACGGTAGGTGTTTAAATGAAGCTGTTTCTTATGCGAATGCAAATTTATTTGTTATGTTTTATCTGCTGGGGTTATGAAAGTGTTTGGCTGAATAGATCGCATCTCAATTTGACCTTTGCAGGCTCTGAAGGAGGCGAAACCGCCGAAACGTCAGCTATTGTATCCTAATAAATCCTATAACAACAACCTCGTGTCTGCTTATTGAAGAAAAACATCGAACTTCAGAATGGATTGCGCTCATGAAAACAGATAATCGTGAATGAAAAATCAGTCAAGAACCATCCTCTTAAAAGTAGCGCCGCAGTATGAAGTCACTTCGTGCTGTGCTTCACCTTCATCATTGAAACTGCAATAAGCTAGGCTCTGAAAAGGTGGTACTGTCGAAATGTTAGTCACAAGAAAGATTTATGACTACCTCATGGAAGTTTATCAATAGGCATAGATATAATTACAATGATGCCGAGATATTTGCAAAACTCCGGACCGCAGTTATTTGCGGTGAGGATCGAACACACTATTACCCTTTCCGACGGCTAACGCGTTCACCACCACACCATGCGGATCCTTCCTTTTGCGTTTCTTTCAGCCTTGCTTTAACCTATAGGTGTTACCAGCAATCATCCGTAGATACAATTGTTGAATTTCGACAAGCTACACTGAGTCTGTTCTTGCCGTCAGTTTACTATAGATAATGAGCCTATTCGAAGATGCAACGGTGAAAAGTCCCAATAACATCTTCGTTTTGGCAAGAACTTCTTGGGATTTCACTACGAAACGGAGATATCTTTCAAAAATTTCGACGATACAGGTTAGGATTGAGAATAAATCGGAAGAGAACCTAATTCTAACTAGTATGATTCACAAAACGTGTGGAAAATACCCTAAGGTTCTAAAAAATAGTGACGGCATATCGTCTAAGCAGGATGAGCGAGAGTGTATAAAACGAAGGTCCGCATGGTACTTAAGGTGCATTAATCTCAAGAAAATTCGAAATTTTTGAATATAATGATTTTATACCGACCAAATAGAGGGAAGTGATTATGGTGGTACTCTTTGTATCTTGAGGATCTCAAGCATGCTCACTGTATTATAGAAGTTCGAAAAACTGATCACTGGCATTAAATCTTTCGAGACCAAATAAATCATCAGGTCAATTACTCGCAATACGTCGACTGCGTACAGAAGAAACATGTGTGTGTGGGTGGACTGCTTGAAATATCTCGGGAGAAAACCACATTTGATCAGCTTTCTCTTCAAAGAACGTGATCGCACTAAAATAGTTGCGATATATCGAAAACATGGCATGAACACTGCTTCCGACTCCGGTTTGCCAATTCAGAGTTAGCTCATTGGGTTCTGCTCGCTCTATGGATTCATTCAGCATTATATACCGCGTTCATGAAGAACCCTGACCAGCGGGTCAGCGGTCTTCCTGTAGTACGTTTAAAATCTCGAGGAATCCAGTCACTAATGGATCTTGTCTATAGATTGTCGTTCATACGCATTACGTGTCCGGCCCATGTTTTCTTCAACAATTTGGCTTATAGAACATCGTCTTTGATTTTTGATCGTTGATGCAGATCAGAGCTTCTGACCTCCTGTCTCACTTCCTAATAAGAGATACTCCTAGCATCGCTCTTTCGACTGCGCGTCCAAAATAACACTGAGTGACCGCATACGTTAAGCCAGGAAGTATTGTAGAGTCGAAAAGTTGGGAACGGAGTCGGTTTGACATCTTAGATGAGAAAATTTTAACGCTTAAGGTGGGTGACGTTGGTTTCAGTGGCCAACTGTCGTTGTGTAGGTGGAGTTGTCTCCACGCTTTGTCATTCTACGCCTTGTCATTACGAGAAGAATTAGAATTACCAATTGCTACACACTAACATTAGCAGTTGACATCATGGAACTCGGTACGTTTTACGAAGATCAGGAGAAACTTGTCTATAACTCGGTCCTACTATAAACTCCTGTGGCTGACTTTATTGCAAAGATAGGTACGGTATAAGATCTTCTCAGGATGGAGTAGGTGGAGTCTATTCAATGAAAGCAGTTCTTGTGGAAATCGCTTACATCATTGCCAAAAGGAAATCTAGTCTATTTAATGGTGGCGTCATTCCGTCGTTAAGTTCCTTTAGCTACAGAGTAAAAAATAAATCCAGTCGTAGAATAAAACTAAATCGTATTTAACAATTCTGTTCTCAGCGATGTACTATCCGTTTATGACTCGTATAATAATGAGCACCTTGTGAAAGACTAGTAAGTGGTGCTCAAAGGCATCCGAATTTGATTTGAGCAAGTTCCTCGTAACACAAACACGCTTTGAACAGGCATCAGGTAAGAACAATGAGCTTCTGAAAGCGAGGAGAAGCCTACAAAGAGATTTTACTGTGATGTACATCGAACGAAACCTCATAACACCACGGATATTAAAGCGGTATAGGAGGGTTTTCATCGAGACGGACTGACCGGGATTAGACAGGTATAGCGCACTGACAGGACTGACAGGTATAGCGCAGTGGTTAGAAGTCGCCTGCAATGCACACTGGGTCGGCCATCACTTCGATCCCACGCCCCGTCTCATCAAGCCCCAGCTCCCTCTGGAGTGAACTGATACCAGATTTGTCTGGGAAGCTCTTTCCGATTCACAAAGGCTGGCGACTGCCTGTAATGAAGAATTGGGAACGCCTTAGCACGGCTGTCCCCAGGATCCCAAGAAGATTCGATTCGACTAGCATCTTGCATTACTCTGGGATTCATCAAACTCGATTGCTTTATCCGTTATCTTTTCT